CCTTAGGGGCCTATTAGGTCCCCTTAGGGGCCTATTAGGTCCCCTTAAGGCCTATGAGGCCCAAGTGAGGTGGTGGTGACCAAAATCGTTAGTAGTTTCTAAGCGTTATATGACAAGGAGTACTGGGAAGACAGGACACACACACACACACACACACACACACACACACACACACACACACACACACACACACACACACACACACACACGCGCGCACACATAAATGTGTGTGTGTGTGTGTGAACCTGGAACCTGTGTGAACCACAGGAACCTGTACACCAGTTGATTGACGGTTGAAAGGCGGGATCAAAGAGCTAAAGCTCAACCTGCGCAAGCACAACTAGGTGAGTACACACACACACACACACACACACACACACACACACACACACACACACACACACACACACACACACACACACTAATTTGGCAGTTTGCCCATCAGGGAAATGAAATGAACCAAGCCAAAATGGATGGAGAGCAGGCACCCCCCAGGCACAGGTGCGGTAGCGTGGCTGCCGCCTGGCTGCTCACACGGGCAGCGTCACACGGGCAGCGTCACACGGGCAGCCTCACACGGGCAGCGTCACACGGGCAGCGTCACACGGGCAGCCTCACCAGACACCACCACCAATATGTCACAGCCTCGCTCATCTCTATTCATCAGCAGAGTCAACAAACGTCCAGGTGTTACTCTGTAGAAGTAGGTGTAGGTGAATTCAACTAGGTGTCTCCTAGTTGTGAATACAACTAGCACCAGTTCGTGCTAGTTGTATTCAACTAGCACGAGCTGGAATTAAAGATACAGTCACTCTGCCTGTTTGTCTTTCGTTTGTCTATCGGAAGGAAGACAAACTCTTATCTACCCAGGTAGATAAGAGGAATTTCTCAAGAGGAATATCACACATACACACACACACTGTATACTGGGACTGTCATGGGGTCGACCTTGTACGTAAGTTAAGAGGAAATAACCAAAATACACTCGAGTAACGGCTCAGCTGAAATGTCCATTGATGACTTCAATCAATTTTTATTGTTTCACATGGAGAGGGACAATTTTTGACTCATTAGAGCTCGTCAAAGGGTTCTCTGCATCATCAAGCTGACCTTGAAAGGTCACAATCAATGCCCACACACGTCAGTCATAATGAGGACCTGACGAGACGTCAATACGTCAGTCATTTTACATTCCTGACTTTCAATGACAGTGAGAACTCTTTCAATCATAGACTAAAATAGGACCCAGCAAGAGATCACACGTGTAAGCAATTGGTCAATATGTGAGAGCGTCGCGCCAAGGAAGAGCAGATCGGGATGATGATGTACTGCCGTGTCGCATATGTTTGTTGTGTGTTGTCAGCTGATGAGTACATCGAAAACATCTCATTCATCAAGATTGCTGTTCGGCTGTTGGTGTTTTGATTGAGAGGGCGGGCGAGGGTAGAGTCTCTCGCGTATATTTTTTCTTACTATTAATTAATAATGACACACATTGAGGAACATGAAAGTCTGTAATAAAAAAAAGTTTGTTGTACTCACCTAGTTTTACTTGCGGGGTTTGAGCTCTGGCTCTTTGGTCCCGCCTCTTAAAAGTCAATCAACTGGTGTACAGATTCCTGAGCCTACTGGGCTCCATCATATTTACATTTGAAACTGTATATGGAGTCAGCTTCCACCACATCATTGCCTAATGCATTCCATTTGTCAACTACTCTGACACTAAAAAAGTTCTTTCTAATGTGTCTATGGCTAATTTGGGCACTCAATTTCCACCTGTGTCCCCGAGTGCGTGTGACCCTTGTGTTAAATAGCCTGTCTTTATCTACCTTATCAATTCCTTTGAGAATCTTGTATGTGCTGATCATGTCCCCCTAGCTCTTCTGTCTTCCAGCGACGTGAGGTTTAATTCCCGTAGTCTCTCTTCGTAACTCATACCTCTCAGTTCGGGCATTAGTCTGGTGGCAAACCTTTGAACCATACTAGTTTAGTCTTATGCTTGATTAGATATGGATCACACACACACACACACACACACACACACACACACACACACACACACACACACACACACACACACACACACACACACACACTGTGTGTGTGTACTTAAGGAAATTCCTTAAGGAATTAAGGCAAATATATGCATATGCAAACAAGCTTGAATGGTCCCCAAGCCAATATGCAACTGAAAACTCCACACCCCAGAAAGATTCGAACCCAGACAGCCAGGAGCACTACGCACATGGCGTACCCGGTTCTTTAACCACTCGACCAACCGTGACTGTACAAAAGACATTGGTAGCCGAGGCTATGTCCCATTTCTATATATATATATCTTATTTCAGTTGCATATTGGCTTGGGGACCATTCAAGCTTGTTCGCATTTGTGTTGCTCACGTGGCCCCACAAAGTGAGGTGATTCGATGATATATCTATGCTCAAGCATACCACCAAGTGCACGGGAGACATCTCCCGTCACGCAGGGTGCAGTCGCACCTCCACAGATCTCCAGTATCATCTATTGATACTGGAAATGGCTCAAAAGGGCCACCACTTATGGGCTATTCATGCCCATGCCACCTTTTGGGTGGCTTAATCTTCATCATCACCACCAAGTGCTGTCGGGACGTTGGGGATATAGCCTCGGCTACCAATGTCTTTTGTACACACGGTTGGTCGAGTGGTTAAGGAACCAGGTACGCCATGTGCATATTGCTCCTGGCTGTCTGGGTTCGAATCCTTCTGGAGTTTTCAGTTTTTATATATATATATATATATATATATATATATATATATATATATATATATATATATATATATATATATATATATATTGTACTTAGTAGCCAGAACGCACTTCTCAGCCTACTATGCAAGGCCCGATTTGCCTAATAAGCCAAGTTTTCCTGAATTAATATATTTTCTCTAATTTTTTTCTCATGAAATGATAAAGCTACCCATTTCATAATATATGAGGTCAATTTTTTTTGGGGGGGAGTTAAAATTAACGTAGATATATGACCGAACCTAACCAACCCTACCTAACCTAACCTAACCTATCTATATAGGTTAGGTTAGCCGAAAAAGTTAGGTTAGGTTAGGTAGGTTAGGTCGTCGAAAAAACATTAATTCATGAAAACTTGGCTTATTAGGCAAATCGGGCCTTGCATAGTAGGCTGAGAAGTGCGTTGGCTGGCTACTAGGTATATTATATATATATATATATATATATATATATATATATATATATATATATATATATATATATATATATATATATATATATATATATATATATATATACATATATATATATATACAGGCTTTTTATCCCCGTCATTATGCTCATTAATATTATTTATAAGAATATGTACAGCCACAAATATTATTACCAAGATAAGGCTGTACAGCAAACATGTACATTAAACAGGCAGGCTAAACTGACAGCTTCCCAGATCTGTCAGATCTGGTGTGGGCACCTGTCACAGTCCAATTACCATTACTTGACGAATAATTCGTTATAGATAATTTACAGGTTGATTATTTGCAATACAAGGTGTCAAAATAATTATTGTAGGTAAATGACCGTGGTATTGCTTAAGATAAAGTATTCATCGTTTGTTGCTTATTAATAGTGTACAAGTGTGATAGAGTATTAATAGTGTACAAGTGTGATAGTGTATTAATAGTGTACAAGTGTGATAGTGTATTAATAGTGTACAAGTGTGATAGTGTATTAATAGTGTACAACTGTGATAGTGTATTAATAGTGTACAACTGTGATAGTGTATTAATACTGTACAAGTGTGATAGTGTATTAATAGTGTACAAGTGTGATAGTGTATTAATAGTGTACAAGTGTGATAGTGTATTAATAGTGTACAAGTGTGATAGTGTATTAATAGTGTACAAGTGTGATAGTGTATTAATAGTGTACAAGTGTGATAGTGTATTAATAGTGTACAAGTGTGATAGTGTATTAATAGTGTACAAGTGTGATAGTGTATTAATAGTGTACAAGTACAAGCTGTGAGACGTAAAATTAACGTTGTGGCAACATGTGGTAGGTTAAACTAGTGGGGATAAAGTTAAACCAGTTATCCTGATTGCTGAATTTCCTGTTCATAACTCGTGCTGTCTTTACTGGCGTCGTTGTTTGAGAAACATTAAAAGGTTTCTTGGATTAAATTCAGGTTCATGTTCGTAACATTGTGTGAGAAATGTCAGTCATGATTCATCACGTGAGTCGCGATTCATCAGGTGAGTCATGATTCATCAGGCGAGTCATGATTCATGAGATGAGTCATGATTCATGAGATGAGTCATGATTCATCAGGTGAGTCACGATTCATCAGGTGAGTCATGATTCATCAGGTGAGTCACGATTCATCAGGTGAGTCATGATTCATCAGGTGAGTCACGATTCATCAGGTGAGTCACGATTCATCAGGTGAGTCATGATTCATCAGGTGAGTCACGATTCATCAGGTGAGTCATGATTCATCAGGTGAGTCACGATTCATCAGGTGAGTCACGATTCATCAGGTGAGTCACGAGGCACGCCTGGATGTGCAGTGTTCACACTAAATCTCACGAAACTCATCAGAATTCATGTTAAATATACTTGGTTAACTTATTGTCACACGGGTGGTGTCACACGGCTGGAGTCACACGGGTGGTGTCACACGGCTGGTGTCACACGGCTGGTGTCACACGGCTGGTGTCACACGGCTGGAGTCACACGGGTGGTGTCACACGGCTGGAGTCACACGGCTGGAGTCACACGGCTGGTGTCACACGGCTGGTGTCACACGGCTGGTGTCACACGGGTGGTGTCACACGGGTGGTGTCACACGGCTGGTGTCACACGGCTGGTGTCACACGGCTGGTGTCACACGGGTGGTGTCACACGGCTGGTGTCACACGGCTGGAGTCACACGGGTGGTGTCACACGGCTGGTGTCACACGGCTGGTGTCACACGGCTGGTGTCACACGGATGGTGTCACACGGATGGTGTCACACGGATGGTGTCACACAGGTGGTGTCACACGGCTGGTGTCATACGGCTGGTGTCACGCCAGCCGACACCACCCGTGTGACACCACTTACTGGCAACTCGGCTGTAAATTCCACCAAGGTAATGCCGCGTCTTAAACACGTAATTGAAAACTGCAGGAATGCCTCTGGGGGGAGAGCAAACTGCTCGTCTCAATTGGCAGTTATGAAGGAGCTGGGGACGTGGGAGGTCTTAGGAGAGATGAATGGGAGCGAGAGAGAGAGAGAGAGAGAGAGAGAGAGAGAGAGAGAGAGAGAGAGAGAGAGAGAGAGAGAGAGAGAGAGAGAGGAGGGGGGGGGGGGGGGTTCAATGTCTGGCAGCTAAAATTTGTAAGTAAAATGGAACACGAGAAAAGTTTGAAGAAATTGGCGTAACATCTCCACTTTATCACAGCCCACCGCCAGCCCGCCGCCAGCCCGCCGCCAGCCCACCGTCAGCCCACCGTCAGCCCACAGCCAGCCCGCCGCCAGCCCGCCGCCAGCCCACGGCCAGCCCACCGCCAGCCCACCGCCAGCCCGTCCCGCCAGCCCGCCGCCAGCCCACCGCCAGCCCACCGCCAGGCCACCGCCAGCCCGCCGTCAGTCCACCGCCAGGCCACTGCCAGCCCACCGCCAGCCCGCCGTCAGTCCACCGCCAGGCCACCGTCAGCCCGCCGCCAGCCCGCCGCCAGCCCACCGCCAGCCCACCGCCAGCCCACCGCCAGCCCACCGCCAGCCCACCGTCAGCCCGCCGTCAGTCCACCGCCAGGCCACCGCCAGCCCACCGCCAGCCCGCCGCCAGCCCGCCGCCCCACCACCAGCCCACTGCCAGCCCACCACCAGCCCGCCATCAGCCCACCACCAGCCCGCCGCCAGCCCGCCGCCAGCCCACTACCAGCCCACCGCCAGCCCGCCGCCAGTCCACCGCCAGCCCACCACCAGTCCACCGCCAGCCCACCGCCAGCCCACAAAGTATTTTATAGGGGATGCTTGTCAGTGATACGGGTCTATAGTTAAGTGCCTCCTCCCTATCACCTTTCTTGAAAATCGGTACATTTGTCCTCTTCCAGCAATTGGGCAATTCTCCCGACATAAGTGATTCATTAAAGATCCTTGCCAGAGGCACGCTGAGAGCCTGCGCTGCCTCCTTTAGTATCCACGGTGATACTTTGTCTGGTCCAACCGCTTTAGTTGCATCCAGTGTTGTCAACTCTTTCATTACCTCCTCTGCTGTCACCTCTATATCTGATAGTCTTTCATCTAGGGTAATCTCTTCTAACAATGGGAGCTGCTCAGGCTCGGTTGTGAACACTCCATGGAAACTGACATTCAGTGCCTCGAAGATTTCCTTGTCACTTTCAGAATATGCCCCCTCTGTCTTCCTTAGTCTTGTCACTTGGTCGTTCACTGACATTTTTCTTCTTATATGGCTGTGTAGTAATTTAGGTTGCTTTTTTGCTTTGATCGCAATATCGTTCTCATAATTTTTTTTCGATGCTCTTCTTATGTTAATGTAATCGTTTCTATCTCTGTTGCATCTAATCCTGTTGTTCTCTGTCCTTTGTCTTCCTCCACTTCCGCCTGCTGATTTTTGTTTCCTGAGACTGTCTATTAAACCATGGGTTATTATATTCCCTCTTACTTTTTCCCTTTACTATTGGTATAAATCTCTCTTCGGCCTCCTGGCCTTTCCCTATGACTAGGTCCATCATATCTTGGACTGTTTTTCTTCTAATTTCTTCCTCCCACTGCACTTCTCCCAGATATTCCCTTATCCTCCTGTAGTCCCCTTTCCTGTAGTCAACTCTTCTTTCCCAGATCTCTTGTCCCTTGGTCACTAGTTTGAATTCCATCATGTTGTTAAGGACTAGGACACAATGGTCACTGACCCCTGGAGGTATTTCATGTTCCAAATTCTTGATGTCTTCTACGTTCTGGGTGAAAATCAGGTCTAATAGGCTCGGCGCATCTCTTCCTTTTTCCCTTGTGTCTTCCTTTAGATGTTGTGTTAGGAAATTCCTGTCTATAACATCTACTAACTTTGCTCCCCACGTTTCGTCCCCTCCATGGGGATTCCTTGATTCCCAATTTATCTCTCCATGATTTAGATCCCCCATGACCAGCAGTTTCGCTCTCATTCTGTGAGCTAATGTTGCTACCCTCTGCAGTTCATCTATGCATGTGTGTGTATGGCTTTCTGTACGAGGAACATATTTTAATCCCATTTGTTGTCAAATCACTCGTCTGGTGAGACGGATTCCAAATCATTTAACCCCCTAGTAAAAATGTCTCTAAAGGCCGGCCACACACGTGCAGTTTTAACTGACAGTTATGACTGTTCAGTTATAACTGTCACAGTTCAAACTGACGTCAGTTAAAAATGAAATGCACACACACACACACACACAGTTCAATCCCTCAGTTTTACCATGGATTCCGAGGAGTACGATCTTGTCGCTCTTGGTGTATTCTTTGTAATGCTACAAGCAAATAGAAAAAAAACTAAGAAGCGTAAGCAGTGGTATACTCTTCAGTGATACTCTTCACTTTTAACTTGCCACAGGCAAGGTTCAGATCGATAGAGTTCAATGAATTCAACAATCACTTGGATTTGTTTACGTGCCATCTCAAACTGCACTGGTCTTTTGACAGTTCCTTTCCCTTACGAATACCCAGGGCATAAGTTCGATTCCACCTGCCGGTTCCTACAGATTTTAGAAGTACCACGATGTTTAAGTTAGCGTTGTCCTCCCCACCGCACCCGTCATACTGCAAGGTGTCCAGCAAGATGCTGTTGTAATCCTCTTAGAGCTACACCGAGTGAGCCCGGGTGTAACACTGGTTCGGTTCCTCTCTCTACTTCACTTCCTTCTTTGCCCTCTACCCGTATTCTTACTTTTTATTCTCTACCACAGGGACTCCAAACTTTTACCAAAGCCAACTCCACGCCACGTTGTCCTAAGACGATTGACCGACTTAGGATTCTACACCCATATGACGTGACCTAGGCTCTGAGCAAAACTCTAGAGTCGCCTCTACGCTGCCACCACCAGACCAGTAACACAGAGCAATGATCGAGGTCTGGATCGATCACGCTAATTAATCAACCTAGGGGCTCGATCCCCACATAAACGATGACCTTGAGTGTGGAATAAATTACACGGTAATGATAATTCCGATTCGATGTTAGAATCGGCGCCCAATACAACTCTGCCTCGTGTGGCCACGTGACCAGGACAAGTATACACATCAAACACATGGAAATAATGAAATGCAAAATATTAACAAATTTAATTTATTAAAAGAAAACTAAAACAAAATCTAAATATGTTCACTCCGCCTTAAAAGTTAGATCTGATTCGTGACGTCACTGATGGTGACTTAAACTCAATAATTAGAATACTCTTGATATTGTATCCAGTACTATTATACAATACAATTTTAATGCAAAATGAATAAAGGCTAATTTTCTCTAAATTACTGAATACTATAGGATGATTCATTATACGCAGCTATGAACAAAGCGTTGGTTATTTCCACCGCGAATTCCCCTGGGGGTCAGGTCGCCATGCGGGCTCAGCTTCCCATTCTCTTTTGTCGATAAACCACTCTGGATAATTCTTACAACAGCCTAGTTTGTTACAACCCCCCCGCACAAGCACTTAGTAAACCTTGTTAATTTGCTAAAATTCACGAGGTTTAGTATAGTTTGTTACACGGGGTTAGAGATGAGTACTTGTCAACATTGAGCTACTTAAGGTTTACTTAAGTAAATTTGACTTAAGGTTAAATAAACGTTATGAGGTTGACTTCACCCTCGTTCTGGCAGCTCCTGGGGACGGCGCTGCAACGAAGCATATTGGCGTTTGCCTTTCCATTGGAATATTTCAGCATCGTGGAAAGGGGGTACCTGCTGCATGGGTAACAGCTTCTCCTCCATATCGACCTACCCAGGCTTGGCGCCCTGAAGAGGACACGCCAGCCTCGACAATCAGAGCGTAACTCCAATGTCTCTCCCGAGACTGCAGGATGCATACTACTCAGCACTGAATCTGGAATTTTCTTGAAAATTTGCAAATTCCAAACCATCACTGTCCAGGTCACGCCAGCAAAGTTTGGGTGGAATACAACCCATTTTCTATACTCTAGAGGGAAAAGTAATTAGTAAATAGTACCCAAGAGCAAAACAAAATATGAATTTGATACAATGTTACGAATGTTTTTTTTTTATGAATATTGTGTATGTTTTTTTGGGGTATAGTATGTATGTTTTTTAAGTGCATTATGTATGTTACGAATATTATGCCTGTATTTAATGCTCGATAACTTGGTTATAAAATGACCCTGTTTCGTACATGTCTAAAAGCCTTGTCGTGTTACGTTTGTTTATTAAGTGATAATCAGTAATTTGGTCGCCAGGGATAAAAAAATTTACAAAACACTTTCTAAATTCAACATGCATTAAAAATTAATTTATTTTCAATTGTGAAATAATTGAGAAAGTTACGTATGTTTCACATCATAGTCTTAGCGATGAGAAACCCATAGTTCTTGAGATGCGATACCGGGTCCAAATTATTTTCAGTGTGTTTCAAAATTTCCCTCAGACGCCAGAGTGATCTCAAGCGGCCCAGAAGATATCGTTCAAGACGTTTCATTTGTCACATAAAGCACACCATTTTGTTTTTATTTTAGTTTTTCTAATGAATAATGATATTCAAACGAATTCTGCATTTCGCTCTTTTCAATTATATAATATATACATACTAAAACAACATATATATATATATATATATATATATATATATATATATATATATATATATATATATATATATATATATATATATATATATATATATATATATATATATATATTCAAACAAGCCTGAATGGTCCCCAGGACTATATGCGACTATTTTATATATATATATATATATATATATATATATATATATATAATATAAAATTGTGTGTGAAAGCATTATTGGACTTGGCTAAATCATATACGTGGCTATTCAAATGCAGGCATTAAACAGTGTTGGCTGTTGGCTATAGGATCGTAATGGTTCGCAAGCACACAGAAAGCAAACCTCTGACATCATGCTGACGTCACTTTGACATGTCTGACTGTCATTTAGATCATATCAGCTGACATGCACAACTGTATGTCCTCGCCATATTGGTACGAAACCTCCTTTTGCTTTTCATTCAATGTCGTTTTGTCCCAGATATGATAAAGCACTGTAGTACTTATTGCGGGTTAATAAAAGGGCGTGAACCCTCTATTTGACCACTGAAAAAGACCTCTGGACATCGTTTAATCTTCTTTCATTTTGCCCTTTTGTCTGCCCATCTATTATTTAATATTTTTCAATCGCTTTACCTGTCTAGAATTCTTCTGCCTCTCTTTCTCTTTGCCTCTCACTTTTTTGTTAATTAGTTTTTCACTTTCATCTTCTATTCCTGCCCTCCCTCCTCCTCTCCCCCTCTCCCCCCCCCTCTTTCTCTCTCTCTCCCTCTCTCTCTCTCTCCCCCTCCCTGCCCTCCCCTCCCTCCCTCTCAACATTTTGACATCAAATCCACACCGGAGATAGCATGATATACTATATTTTATATAGCTCACAACCACGTTTTCTATACGTGGGTCTTTGGGATATATTATGTTAGGTTCGGACAATCTTCGTTACATAATATGTGACGGGACAATTGGAGAGAACGGGCTGTTGAGAACACCCTGTTGCCTGCGGCTCTCCACTCCTCCTGTGACGGACAATAACATTACCCGCCTTCCTCTGTTGAACGGTTCTAACACTAAACAGGACAAAGCTACGTCATTAATGCCGGGAGGAACTCATCATGTTCAAAGACGGGGAGAGGGAGGGGGAGAGAGAGGGAGAGGGAGGGAGGGAGGGAGGGAGAGAGAGAGAGAGAGAGAGAGAGATTGACAAGTAAACAGGCATTTCTCTTTGTACAGAATTTTTCGTTTGAAGATAGTAGAATTATTAAATAAAAGAAACTTTCTTACTGCACTTCTAACATTCTGAAGGTAGTTTTAAGTTTCAATACGAAACTTGAGAATCAGCATCCATTACTTTCTATGTTATTATGTCGTTATCTAAAAATAAAAATGTATTATATATTACTTACTTACACTCATATTACTAAAACAAATACACACACGCACACGTACACGCACTTTGAGAAAAGGTTCTGTCCAAACTTGGAGGCCAGACGCTTGGGGCTGAACTCGTTTAAATCTGCAGGGGTAAAGGTCTGGGATCAGAAACATGCTGTTCGGGGTGTGTCGAAATTAAATGATCTAAGAAATGTTAGCATCTTCAAGGAATCGAATGAGAATAATCTGAGTGTTATTCTCCCTTCCAACCTGTTCTCGGGCTAGGTTCGTTAATCAACCCGTCCTCAGGTCGGCTCGTTAAAGCAGTTGCCGTCCCCCAAGACTTGTTCATCAAAGTTAACGTATTATGTATTAAAAATAGGTTTGCACTCCTATATTAATATTATTATATATTAAAGTTCTGTCTGTATTTAGGAGTAGATTAGATTAGGCGTTTAGGTTCTGTTGACGATTCTTTGTATTTGTACAAAAAGTTGCAATTCGAACAGAAGTTGTTAGCGAAGCGCTGTTTGAGAAGTGTTTGAACGTCATCAGTTATAGGCTGAGTGTAAGCGGTTCTTCACTCATAAATACGGGGTTGGGCGGATGGATTAACGAGCATTTGGCATTTGTTGATGAGGCAGCTGCATTAATGGAGCAACTGACACCAAAGACGTATTCGTCAGTCTTAACACACTGCATATTAACAATTTGTATTTTTTTCTTCAAATATACAATAATATATACTAGAATGTGTTGAATAGATGAGCCTAGCTTAGGTTAAGTAGTTCTGTTAGCAATTACACACAGAAATCATAATTGCGTGATGCATCAAATGAACAAATCCACAAGGGCCGTGACGAGGATTCGAACCTACGTCCGAGAGCATCCCAGACGCTGCCTTAATCGACTGAGCTACGACATGGTCAAAAGGAGTTGAAACCGAAGTTCTACTGAACTTACTGGATCCTGCAGCCTCTCCGAGGCACAAACCAGGGTTTTACACAACTCCCCCCTTGCACTCGAGCTATGTCAATAGGCCGTTCTCCCTCTTCGCCCTTACTTTTGACCATGTTGTAGCTCAGTAAAATCAAGGCAGCGTCTGGGATGATCTCGGACGCAGGTTCGAATCCTCGACACGGCCCTTGTGGATTTGTTCTCTTAGCAATTATTTGCAGTATGTGAATGAAGCATTCAGGAAGGTGTGTTTCGAGAAGAGGATGTGAACGAAGCACTGCTCGAGAACAGTTAAATACGTGAGCTGTGAGTTGTGTGTCAAGCGTTTTTCAATCATAAACAGGAAGAAGGGAGAAAGGGATGGTTTTGGCGGCTGTATGTAATCTCTTTTGGCCTTTGTTAATGAGGATAGTCCGCAGTGCATAAACCGTCGACTCGAAGATTCAGAACCGTTCAGCTCCGGTCTCATTCTTGCTATTTCTTCTTTATGTTGGCACTGATTATGTTGTATTGTTTCCGAAACGTCTGTTTAAAATAAATTTAAAAAATATGTATATATTTTACCTTATAATTGTCTTCACCGTTAGATTGAAATGTCCAATAGGGAAATCAATCTCTGCAGCATCTGTACTATAAACGAGAGAGTCTGCCTTATTGTCCCCCGAAAGTTGGAGGCCAGACACCTGGGACGAGCCTTAGCTAAATGTGCAGGGGGAGTGGTCTGGGGTACTGGGCTGACATAAGCTGGTTGTGGTAGACCTAAATGTCTTGAAGACTAAACCACACACCAGAAGATGAGGAGACGACGACGTTTGGGTCCGTCTTAGACCAATAATTATCAAGTCAATTCTTAAATACCTTAAGAAATATTAGAAATTATAAACACGCTTAAGCCATTTTCATGTAGTCAAGTGTGAAATATGGCCTGTGATTAGCGTGGAGTTTAGCACTGGAGGTACTCCCTATCATTACTCCTGCCGTTTACCCGCGCATTTCCATGATTTACTATATATATGTCAATGAAAGTGTCTGTTCGAGATTGGAGGGCAGTGAGAAGGGGGAGATGAGAGGGAAGAGGGGAAAAGTGGTTTACGACACGCGCTTACTCAAGCCCCACACTAAACTAACAATCTTGTTCTCATACACTCGCTGGCGTCCATTGCATGATAAGATAAAAATACATTACAAATATTAAAATTGTTGAAAGCAATAGTGACCAAGATAAATGAATGAAAGAGCGAGAGAGAGAGAGAGAAAGAAATAACGAGTCAGAAAGAACATGAATGACCTCAATACAGATTCTCTCTCTCTCTCTCTCTCTCTCTCTCTCTCCTCTCTCTCTCCCTCTCCCTCTCCCTCTCCTCTCTCTCTCTCTCTCTCTCTCTCTCTCTCTCTCTCCCTCCCTCCCTCCCTCCCTCCCTCCCTCCCTCCCTCTCCCTCCCTCTCTCTCTCTCTCTCTCTCTCTCTCTCTCTCTCTCTCTCTCTCTCTCTCTCTCTCTCTCTCTCTCTCTCCCTCTCTCTCTCTCTCTCCCTCCCTCCCTCTCTCTCCCCCCCCCTCTCTCTCTCTCTCTCTCTCTCTCTCTCTCTCTCTCTCTCTCTCTCTCTCTCTCTCTCTCTCTCTCTCTCTCTCTCTCTCTCCATAAAGCCTCTCCCGGTAATATAGAGAGCGGGAGAGCGTTAACGACACAAGAAGGCTTTGTTGTGTGGGTGTTAATGGAGTTTAAAGATATATCCCTAATTGAACAGGGATATTGCACAAGTTGGAGCGAATAAAAGATCACAATGGTGTTCTGACTGCGCTAAACACTGCCTGACGCCTACTGCTACACATAAATATATTCAAACAGAATATTAGAGGCCGATAGAGCTTCGGCCTCACATGAGTGGGGTTCACGGTTCGAATCTCCTACAGCCCAGGTGAATGGAATATTCTAACAGTTCTGTACCTGTCACAATATTCTGCATGCTATTCAGCTCGGTATTTTTACTGCTCGATTCATTTGGCCAATCTCACTGTACTATATAAATATGTATTTGCATTACACTATACACAGTCATTATTTTGTGCTATACGGTTGGCACTTTGTTACCCTGACAACACAGTAGTTGTGACCGTGAAGTTGTACCTTTCGCGAGGCCTTCCTTGACGAATGATAAATTCTTAAGATATTTTGGTTACAAACATTCTACGTAAATACATTTGTGCTAAGATTTCTAACGATTCCCTGTGTTAGAATTGTCATTACTGATGATTTTTGTGAATACCATTCAGTAGAAATATTTCCATAGATTGTAATTAATTGTAGGCGCTACAAAAATAAAGAGACTCGTCATCTTGAGTTTCGAAAGAGGCAAGCGTGCCGCGCTTACGAGTCTCGAGATTAAGGAAGCGCTCACAACAGTCTCGTAGACCTCCAGACCGTATTGGACCCGAGGGATATGCGGGAGTCACGGGTGGTGAGCTTCCCTATCTAGACGCGCCCTGCATAATTGATGCCTCAGGAGGAACCAAACCAGAAGTGGCAGTAACAGACGAAGAAGAGAGGTAGAACAGAAGGAGCAGTTGTAGCAGGAACAGGGAGGAGAAGTGGGATGGTGAGAGGAGAGTAGCAGGAACAGGGAGGAGAAGTGGGATGGTAAGAGGAGAGTAGCAGGAACAGGGAGGAGAAGTGGAATGGTAAGAGGAGAGTAGCAGGAACAGGGAGGAGAAGTGGGATGGTAAGAGGAGAGTAGCAGGAACAGGGAGGAGAAGTGGAATGGTAAGAGGAGAGTAGCAGGAACAGGGAGGAGAAGTGGGATGGTAAGAGGAGAGTAGCAGGAACAGAGAGAAGTAGCAGGAATGGAATGGGAAGAGATAAGACTAGCAGCATCAGGAGAAGAGTTACAGGAGATAAAAGGAGTGTGAGAAGGAGGCGGTGGAGGGCGGGTGGTCAGGAAAGGAGAGTAGAAGACAAGTGACAAGAGCAAAGAGGAAAATCTGGAGGAACAGAAAAGTAGCAAGAACTGAAAAAGGAGGAGCAAGAGAAGGAGAGGAGCGCAGGAGTGGAGACGAGTGACAGGAGAAAAAGGGAAGTAACAAGAGAAAAGACCAAAATAAGTCTGTCCCAGGTTAACAAACTCTTCGTCTGTGTTCATCTGTGAGGTATCTATTATTGTATCTTTATCTGTATTCCTTTCAGTCACCTCTGTTTCTCTCGCTCTTCCTCTCTTTATTGCCTCTATAAACTCATCTTTTCCAAATTTGAAGACATAAACAAACGGGGAACTACGAAGATATGATATGATTTCCATTGAATTTAACTTGGCACATATTTCAGTATGAACTCCACAAGTATGAGCGGTGCAAGCCTCAACAGGACACCACGAGCCTCAACAGGACCCCACGAGCCTCAACGGGGCCCCACGAGCCTCAACAGGACCCCACGAGCCTCAACAGAACCCAACGAGCCTCAACAGGACCCCACGAGCCTCAACGGGACCCCACGAGCCTCAACAGGACCCCACGAACCTCAACAGGACCCCACGAACCTCAACAGGACCCCACGAGCCTCAACGGGACCCCACGAGCCTCAACAGGACCCCACGAGCCAGCCTCAATAGGACCCCACGAACCTCAACAGGACCCCACGAGCCTCAACGGGACCCCACGAGCCTCAACAGGACCCCACGAGCCTCAACAGGACCCCACGAGCCTCAACAGGACCCACGAACCTCAACAGGACCCCACGAGCCTCAACGGGACCCCACGAGCCTCAACAGGACCCCACGAGCCTCAACAGAACCCCACGAGCCTCAACAGGACCCCACGAACCTCAACGGGACCCCACGAGCCTCAACGGGACCCCACGAGCCTCAACAGGACCCCACGAGCCTCAACAGGACCCCACGAGCCTCAATAGGACCCCACGAACCTCAACAGGACCCCACGAGCCTCAACGGGACCCCACGAGCCTCAACAGGACCCCACGAGCCTCAACAGGACCCCACTAACCCCGCTGGTCTTCCTCACACCAAAATAAGTGTTGTAAAGCAATCGATTATTTCGTCATCGTCCAAACTGAAGATAAATTATAGAGAAAACCCGTAGTTTAAACAACAATGCAAGAAACACCTGAGAGGAGAGGAGCAGGAGAAACAAGAACAAATAACTTTGAGAAAGAAAGCAGAGAAGCAGTTTGAAAATGACATAGCAGCTCAACCCAAAGACAGATGAAGCCACGAATATCGATAACAAAACGCATGAGGAGTATAAAAGAGGATTTCTGTCCGCATTATAACAGAGGAAGGAACAATGTCTAAGCTGAGAGATGGGCTGAAGACTTGACCACTGACAGAGAAACTATAACTATAGTTATGAAGGAATCCCAAAAATATGACTATATAAGATATAAGGCCAAGTATAAGAACAATGGCCTTGTAGGCAAGGAACTGACGCTACGTGCTTCGGGAAGGTGTGGAGGTCGCTGGAACTGACGCTACGTGCTTCGGGAAGGTGTGGAGGTCGCTAGAACTGACGCTACGTGCTTCGGGAAGGTGTGGAGGTCGCTAGAACTGACGCTACGTGCTTCGGGAAGGTGTGGAGGTCGCTGGAACTGACGCTACGTGCTTCGGGAAGGTGTGGAGGTCGCTGGAACTGACGCTACGTGCTTCGGGAAGGTGTGGAGGTCGCTGGAACTGACGCTACGTGCTTCGGGAAGGTGTGGAGGTCGCTGGAACTGACGCTACGTGCTTCGGGAAGGTGTGGAGGTCGCTGGAACTGACGCTACGTGCTTCGGGAAGGTGTGGAGGTCGCTGGAACTGACGCTACGTGCTTCGGGAAGGTGTGGAGGTCGCTGGAACTGACGCTACGTGCTTCGGGAAGGTGTGGAGGTCGCTGGAACTGACGCTACGTGCTTCGGGAAGGTGTGGAGGTCGCTGGAACTGACGCTACGTGCTTCGGGAAGGTGTGGAGGTCGCTGGAACTGACGCTACGTGCTTCGGGAAGGTGTGGAGGTCGCTGGAACTGGCTGACCTACAGAACCGCTGGAAGAGAGCCAACGCCATGTCACCACACAAGAAAGGCGCACTGGTAAAACATTCGTCCGGCGCTTCGCGAGCGATTTGGCCTGGATTCGTATCCAGGCCGGCCCGGGGAAGATTAACTAGGCGCTAGTCCTTAACTGAACGCTTCTGTTCCCCCAGCAGTGATTGGGTACCTAATCGCTAAATGATTTGGCGGGTCGTATTCCAAGGAAAATTAGGATTAAAGACCCGCCCGAAATGCTATGCGTATTAGAGGCTTTACAAGAATGTAAGAACATTTGTAAAAGAGGATACTGGGAGGAAAGAAAATTAAAATTGTAAGATGCGTTACGTTCCTTCAAGACTGTACAGCGCCAGAAGACCGCTCTCTCCAGAGCAACTCGTCTTGCTCACATGGAAAATTAATAACTTCTCATTTATGCGGAATTAATGATCCCTGGGCTACAAGGAGAGTTACACAATACAGACACGATGATGACCTAGAAAATTTCCGGAGATAAAAAGAGGAATAATACATCCTCTTTGACCTCGCCCCGCTAACCTGTCTATGGGAGATTTGACATGGCCGCTGCCATGAAGGAGGCGTGGTCGAGGACCGGGCCGCGGGGACACTAAAAAGCCCCGAAATCATCTCAAGATAACCTCAAGAAGATATGAATTAAAGTGTACTCCCTTCATGGTGTTTCTTTACCCAGGACAAGTCATACACATGTCGCCCGGCTACGTGAGAGAGAACGAGACAGAGTGTGTAACAATGTAAAAGTATTTAAACAGGCTTCAGAGTTATGTGAAAAAAGTGTATTTGCATTCAATCCAGAAAACTCTAAAAATAATGTAGGTAGGAGACCCAGGTTCAGTATGAAAAGGGCAGTTTTCTAGGACCTTGATCTTTATCCTTTTTTAAAGGAAAAAGATCAGTGGTTCACATAACCTCATTTAGCATAAAAACGTCTGCAACTTCAACAGGCGAATGACTGGTAAGCCTTCAGAAACCAAGACAAGAGAGCTTTTAGAATATATCGTATGTGAGACCCATCCTTGAATATGCAGCCCTAGCACTCAGTCCTCACCTGAAGGACAGTAAGCCCAGCGAAGGAATACCGCTGCTTGTCCCGGAATACTGAACTACAGTGATGGTTTCATAAAATCTTATCACATTAAAGGAAAAGAGAAAAAGGACATGATAAGGACATACAAAAATTCTTGGAGAAATCAACACTAGACAAAAATGCTATATTCCAAAGGAAAAATTTCGGAGACGTAAATATATCAAAAGAACGTCCGGAGTTTTTTAGGTGAAAGATTGTGAACAAATACATTTGGCTAGAACAGGATGTTGTTGTAGCCAATCAATTCCATTCGCAGTTGCGAAAGAAAATATAAGTTACACGCAGGAAATGTGACATGGTATTGGCCAACTGATTGATGAAGTTGTGGAGCCAAAGAGCTCTATCATACACACACACACACACACACACACACACACACACACACACACACACACACACAGAGACACACATGCACACAGTGATGTTGTGGACACACACACACCTAACCAGTTGATTGACAGTTGAGAGGCGGGACCAAAGAGCCAAAGCCTACACATATATATACTCCCCTTGATGTTATCAGGTGTCTGTGCTACACAACTTGACATTTTTCCACATTACTCTTTTTCTTTCGTAAAGGTTTTTCGCTAACCTCTGAAATTTCGCGATTTTGTTTTCCAGTTAACTTCCTTGTACCGTAAATTGGCACGTTCATCTGTGGACTTGTTGCATCGAAGTTGACCTCCTCGCTCGGATCATACCATAAAATATTTCAATTAAAATGATATTTTTCAATTCTGAATTAGTTAATTTCAGATTTCCAAAACCAGCTGTAGGGAACAGTCTCAATTTCTTCAAAATGAAAACCCAGTTTAGATATTCCTGGCCTACTGCCAGCCCCGGGTATGGGAAATAAATTATCTGGATTTGGGGATAATTTATATAGTTTGGGTTTATATAGAAAACGTGATCAATGTTTTTAACAAATTCCGTTTATTAATAACATTGAGCTGTTTCATTGTCTTGTGATAACCGTTCGTTCTTCACCTTGATGTTCTTCACCTTGATGTTCTTCACCTTGATGTTCTTCACCTTGATGTTCTTCACCTTGATGTTCTTCACCTTGATGTTCTTCACCTTGATGTTCTTCACCTTGATGTTCTTCACCTTGATGTTCTTCACCTTGATGTTCGTTGGCTTGGCGTTCATAACCTTGACGTTCACAACCATAAGGTACTCAACCATGACGTTCACGACATCAACGTTCCTACCAGGGAAGTTCTCCTCTACCACAAAAACATTGTGTAACTGCCAAGGTAACCAACCACTTGGAATGAACGGTAGAACGACGGTCTTGGTTCATGCAGGTCGGCGTTCAATCCCCGACCGTCCAAGTGGTTGGGCACCATTCCTTTCACCCGTCCTATCCCAAATCCTTATCCTGACCCCTTCCTAGTGCTATAGAGTCGTAATATTAGGCTTGGCGCTTTCCCCTGGTTTATGACGTCACTCATTCTCAGTATAGATGTTTCTATAATGCTAACTCTCTAAGTTGCCAGACACTATCGTCTACAGTTATAGCCCATATAGTGTATAGTGAGTATATGAACAAAACACGCACTATCTTGCTAAATATATTGTGAAGCAGTTATGTTGCAAGCATGCATGGCGACCTGTGTTGCAGTCATGGCAACGTGAGATATTTTAGTCACGGAGACGTAATAATGCCATTAATACGTCACGGAGACGTAATAATGCCATTAATACGTCACGGAGACGTAATAATGCCATTAATACGTCACGGAGACGTAATAATGCCATTAATACGTCACGGAGTCGTAATAATGCCATTAATACGTCACGGTCATGGAGACGTAATAATGCCATTAATACGTCACGGAGACGTAATAATGCCATTAATACGTCACGGAGTCGTAATACCATTAATACGTCACGGAGTCGTAATAATACCATTAACACGTCACGGAGACGTAATAATGCCATTAATACGTCACGGAGACGTAATAATGCCATTAATACGTCACGGAGACGTAATAATGCCATTAATACGTCACGGAGACGTAATAATGCCATTAATACGTCACGGAGACGTAATAATGCCATTAATACGTCACGGAGACGTATTAATGTGGTGTCAGCGTCAACGTTAGTGTTCCTACCATATATTTGAGTATGAAATGGCCATTAATACGTCACGGAGAGTCAACGTCAACGTTAGTGTTCCTACCATATATTTGAGTATGAAATGGCCAAGTCTGAACATACCAGGGATAATAGTTACAGAATTACCTTCGTAGTTCTTGTAAATATAATCTACTATATTTGTGTTAATATATGAAATGATGAAAGTATATTAAATGTTGTAATGGCTTTCTTGCCACATATATTGAAGACATAACCGACACTAAGACGCTTTTTCAGGAAGACGGTATATCATTACACGTTATTGTTCAAACGCGTATGGCTTAGTTGAAGTGTAATGTAGAAGCAGACTGGCTGGGTAGGTGAGGAAAACAAATAGGCAGTTTCTTTCACCCTGATGCCCTTGTTACCTAGCAGTAAATAGGTATATGGGAGTTAGACAGCTGCAACGGGCTGCTTCCTGGGAGAGAGAGAGAGTGTGTGTGTGTGTGTGTGTGTGTGTGTGTGTGTGTGTGTGTGTGTGTGTGTGTGTGTGTGTGTGTGTGTGTGTGTGTGTGTGTGTGAAAAAATAAATTGATCGTTGATTGACACTCGAGAGGCGGGCCGAAAGAGCAGAGCTCAACCCCCGCAAGCACAACTAGGTGAATACAACTATGGGGGCACTA